GAGCATCTTGTAGTGCCAGAAGTTAAGGAAATACTTACACACACACATGCACAAGGATGGGATATGTCAAAGGAACACAGGAGCCAACTGAAAGAGCTCCCAATGGCTAAAGCTGGAGCAATTGTAGAAACAAATAAAGTAGTATTGGATTATACCCCAAAATATAAAATAAATATTCGTGAGTGCATAATGATATAAATGATAAATAATTGGGGGAGAAGAGATAACTCATATGGAGGAATTTCAAATAATTTATGTAGGTACTCCACCCTCAAGGAGGAGGAACATAACTCCCTACTACTCAAGTATGGGCTACACATAGTACTTCCTTCCGAAGAGTCGAGTATGGAAAGGAAGGTGAAGAAAGAGTAACTTTCACAGTGTGGAAACCTGACAACACTGCTCAGCCAGGAGGTCAAGGTCGACATCAACAGTGATAAATCGTGTTGATAGTATGTGCCTTTAATGTAATATGATGAAAATGGCACCTCTGTGGTCTTCCTCCCCCAAACCTGTAAGCCCGGTCAAATCACAAGAAAAACATCCCACAAATTCCAGTAGAGGAGCATCCTGCAAAACACCTGACCTGATCCTACCAAACACTTCAAAGCTGTCAAGGTCATCAAAAATAAGGAAAATCAGAGAAACTGTCATAGCCAAGAGGTACATGACAACTAAATGTAATGTTGTATCCTGGATGGGATCTTGGGACAGAAAAAAAAAGCATTAGATCAAAACTAAGGAAATCTAAATAAAGTATAGATTTTAGTTAATAATAATTATATCAATATGGTTTATTAATATTAATAAATCTACCACACTAATGTAAGATATTAATAATAGGGGCAACTTGGTGCAGGCTATATGGGAAATTTCTGGACTGTCTTAGTAAATAAAGTTATTTTGATCAAAATTTAAATTTTGTTTTCTTTACAATTGTCTACTGAAAGAAAGCCATCAATTCTCGCTTTTAAATGCTAGAAATTCAGTTTTGTGTGGCCAAAGATAACGTAATGTTAGACTCCTTTTAAGGTGACTGTTGTTGACTCATAAAGATTTTTTGGTTGTTGTCAAATATGTGTGCTTGGGGGGAGGTGAAAGGTAGGGGTAAAGTTTAGTTAATAAAATCCAACTTGGAAAAATAACTATTTTTTTTGGAGAGTCTTATATTCCAAATGTTTCAAACCCAAGTCTCAAGTTTACTTTTGTTAATGAAAGGCATTCAGTGGGTTTTTATTTTCTCAAAGAGAATTCTTAATACCTTTTAAAACAGTATATGTATTCTCTTATAATTCTGCCTTGGTATAAAAGAGATCATCACATCATAAGAATATTCTTAACCTAACAAAAATATTTTTTGCAAGATTCCTTGAAAATGCTAATTTTACCACTGAATTGAAAATATTATTAGCCTTTATTATGACCACTTAGGGATAACTTGAAGTGTCCCCCTAAAAAAGTTTTTTGTTGTTGTTTTTTTTGTTTGTTTTTTTGAGGAAGATTAGCCCTGAGCTAACAACTGTTGCCAATCCTCCTCCTTTTGCCGAGGAAGATTGGCCCTGGGCTAACATCTGTGCCCATCTTCCTCTCCTTTATATGGGACACCGCCACAGCATGGCTTGACAAATGGTGTGTTGGTCCGTGCCTGGGATCTGAACCTGTGAACCCTGGGCCGTTGAAGCAGAGCACAAGAACTCAACTGCTACGCCACCGGGCTGGCCCTAAAAAAAATTTTTTTATTAATGTCATGCTTCTAAGAACAGAGTAAAGTGTTCTGATGTTATAAAGACTTTTTTTTCTCTATAGCTATCATACATCCTGACTTACTATATCTATATATCTAGTAGGGTAACACATTTCCTTCCAACCTTTAGTGGGTTGAAGTTCATTTATCTTCTAATCTAGGAAAATGAGTTAACTCCTGACAACCTCTGATACTCAACAGAAATACAGCTGTACTTTGGAATTAGTCATCCATCTTTATTTCATAGTCTCTTATTTATCATGGCAAAATAGCAGGATAGCAAATATTCCACAGTGTCCTGTACTACCAGTGGAATTTCATTGCAATAGCATTGTTTGAAAATCTACTATTTGATTTTGACCTGGCTAGCACAGATCAATTTTTTTCCCCTGTATGTTCAGCCTGGAGCATCTAACCATAACAATCAAGTGCTCTGTTGGCCTCCATAAAAAGTTGTGATGGACTTATTAAAGGACAGTCTCAATAATTCTATACATAAGAAATAATTTTTTCCACTTCCTAGCTCTAATATTTTTTAAGTAAAGGGGAATATTGGATCTAGGTTTCAAGGTTTGTTTTTCTATATTCCTTAAGTCATTTTACTAAATTAATCTGAGCCACATTTTTCTAATATGTAAAATGATTACTGTAACAATATACTATAAAAAATGTAAAGTGCTTAGCATAGTGTATGTACATAGTAATGGTTCCACAGATGGCAGCTCTTGTTAGTTTCATACCGGGCTGTGCACCTGTCCTGCTTCACATGCCATGTAAAATAGCTGATGAGTTTTGGGAGGGATCTCCCACATACATTGTACAGTATGATGTCTGCTCTGCTTGATCAACAGAGCAACGAAGGAGAACGCCTCTTCTTTGGTACATAGAATTGACTGACTATGAAAAGAGTTTGGCATTTTTATTTCATCTCTGGTGAAACAATTTTAAGAAGTCTTTCAAATGTCTTTGTAAAAAGAAAAAGTTATAAGCAAAATATAAAAGGATGGTATTATTTATTACCAACAGAAAATCTTATTTGAACATCCTATGTTGAAATGGCCATTTAATGCAGTGACTCATAGGAGCTTTCTAGTAGAAAGCAAATGCTCAAATGAAACAGCATTTATTTTGTTAGGCAATAGTGATATGCCTTTTATTGGCTGGACTCTGGCAAACACCTGGCAACGAATGGTACTTTACCCAAAGAGACACGTATCATGTACCATGTAGTGTAACCGCCAGCGTTAAAGGTCTGTGTAACTGTGAGCCTTAAGTGGAAATATAAAAAACAGTTCTCATAGAATCACATAATATTCAAAATAGTCTTTAATTTAAATAAAGTTGTACAGTTTAAGTGACTATAATGGCTTCATATCACTATGTGTGTATTGCAGAAATTGTGGGAACACATAGAAATCTATTCAAATGTAAAGCAATAAAGCATTTTCACATTACCTTGTATTTATAATACTTACTATTCATAAAAACTTATATTTCTTCAACAAAGGTATTTTTCTAAGGATGGCCTTTTCTGTTTGCCCCAGGAAAACTTATTATTTATGACTTCAAGATGATAGTCACAACCAAATATTTTATTTTTGTATAGGTACTTTAGCCATGATTCGTATACAAAACTCATGATAGCAAATGAAGTTCTAAACTCAAGAGACAATAAAGACAAACAGTTTTCCTCTTTCAGTTCTGTGTATAAAAATATATTTCAAGAGAAAATATGCTTGACTTTGGAGATTTTTAAATTTTATATTTCATTTTGTGGCCCTGTCTGTCAAGTTGGCTGTCTTTTACCTAGGTTGTCTAGAAGATTTAAGCTTAAGATTAGGATTCTAGAAAAAGGTTTTGAGAAAGATGAGGCTGGATTTAAGAACTCGTTTTATACATAAACATGGCTGTAAGTATTTTCAAGTTCATTCAAATAGCCCTTCACCAGCACTTATTCCCTCCTTTGCCAAAACCTCCTTACATGCCCCCCAAACCACCTCATTTTAGTAGGTTTTGTTCATATCAAGTCTGTCTTGGGGGAGTTCTCAAGGACAAGAGTTGGTTTAGTCAGCGTGGCCTTAGGCATACTAGAGTATTCGCTTTAATTCTAGAGAAGCTTCCTAAATTAATTTTCTATAGCAAAAGTGCTAAGAGCTGAAATTCCCCCTTTGAATCTTTTCCTAGAAGTGGGATTCAGAAAGCACAGGGGACTCTCTCCAGCCAATGTGGGGACTTACACAGGTGTTTCTCATCAAGGACATGGCTAGGGGTCTAGTACGATATACTCAGTCAGCTTGCTAGCACGTTAATGGTAGACAATGCTGATTTGCTCCAACCCCCGTATAGTTTCACACATAAGGAGAATCATCTAGGTTTTGGAAATGAAAGTTCTATCTACTCGAACATTTTGAAATAATTGGGGGTGGTACAACTTAAAAATTTTAAATTTAAAGCCTAAAATTCAGAGTTAATTTTTATAATAGCATACACATAGTATAAAAAAATTCAGGGGCCGGCCCGGTGGCGCAAGCGGTTAAGTGCACGCGCTCAAGTGCACGCGCTCCGCTGCGACGGCCCAGGGTCCTCCAGTTCGGATCCCAGGCGCGCACCCACGCACTGCTTGTCAAGCCATGCTGTGGTGGCATCCCACATAAAGTGGAGGAAGATGGGCACGGATGTTAGCCCAGGGCCAGTCTTCCTCAGCAAAAAAGGAGGAGGATTGGCAGATGTTAGCACAGGGCTGATCTCCTCACACACACAAAAAAATAATAAAAAAATAAAATAAAAAAATTCAAAGATGACCATACAAGACCTAATAAAATTTAAGTAAGTTTAGGTGAGTTTGAGAATCTTCACCACTCTCCCACATAAAGTGGTAAAATGTGAAGACAGGCATTTAATATTATAGGCATTGTGATTATAGATTGAGCAGAAAAATATCACCACCAGTGTTCCTCAAATGTCCCTCAGTATTTCTGAATTTATAGGAAGGTAAACTGGTCTGGTTTAGCTCTCAAAAGTGAAAAGTGTTTTGATGTTTCCTTATTGAGTAAAAAAAATTAAAAGGGTGAAAGACTGAAAACTACAGTCCCCCTAAGTTTAATCATTAATCGGGAGCCGTTTGGTGAACCTAGGTCCTGATTTTGGAGTTTGGAATCTGACCTTTCCCCAAAGATAAACATTATTGTTGCAGGTTCTGAGGAGGGTCACTCCCTCGCTGCCAGTGAAAGCGCCCACTTCTCCGTGACTTCTCGCTGGGAACTGGATGCGTTAGAGGGCAGCCAGTCAATATGATTCTTCTTGCTGTGCTTTTTCTCTGCTTCATTTCCTCATATTCAGCTTCTGTTAAAGGTAAGTTTGTGTTACCTGTTGCTAAATTTTAATTTTAATCTTTGAGGGAAAATATGTGTGTGTGAATAGTGGAAGAGTTCCTAACTAAACTATCTTCGGAGCCATGTAACTTTGGAATGTTTGTGAAGGTACTGGGTTGGAATGCAAACCAAATTCAAATTCCTACATATATTAAGAAAACAGAGGTTCCTTTTAGTTTCAGTCCCTCAGACTGGTGTGCTTCTTGCTTCATTTTCTCATTCATGGTCTAGTTTTAAAAGGGAGAAAAAAGATGCCAGCTATTGTTACATGCTTCAGTTGGTCACTCACTGAATGCAGCTCCTTCATTTGAATTGTAAAAGAGGATTTTAAAAAACCAGTTCCTAAATTTCCCTCTAGTTGCTTAGCGATGTGACATCAAGAACAATTGGACCCAATGAAAAAGGCCTTCCATTTGCCAAAGAATTATGAATGAAATGCTAAAGTGTGTATTTAATTCCATTACCATTCAAAACTGATAGAACTATTTTAGTTGGAGAATTACAGAAAATAAAACTACATGATATAGATTTAAGAAAGAAGACATTATCTTTGGAAAAATAGTGTTGCTATTTTTCTAAGTTAAAATTTATTTAAGAAAACACATATGAATTTATACACTTCACAGAAAACAAACAGTTTATGAGTAATGGTTTCAAAAAGCTGTATGACATGTATTAATATGGAATCTTGTTTTAAATCAGCTGATTTATGCACTCTTTGGATTTCTAAATGTTGCACCTGTAAAATTATCACTTTTTAGAGTCTCTTAAGAGGATGCACTGTCAAAACCAATTGATCTAACACAGAACTTAGCACAATAGGGTCCAATTTTAATAACTGTGTACTCAAAGTATTTCATATAAAACAATTCACTTGTAAACTTCTAAAACCCTTGTGGGAAAACTGTGACTTTTTGATCATAAAGTGAAGTTTGTCTTAAGATTTTTTTGTGTGGAAAATTTCCACGTGAAGAAAAGGGAAAATCTTTGTTATTGGAACAATAAATGGAGAGCTAAATATAGATTATTTCACCTAAGCAAATCACACTTTAGATTCTTGAACTAAAGACAATATTTTTCACTAGTTTCTAAAATGTTTAGTATTTAAAGATATGGTCCTTACTAGGATGAAAAAATTTTAATGAGAAAAAAGTAAAGGTTTCTAAGTTATGTCTGAGGATTGTTATAGAGAGCTTACTATTTTATCTGTCAAATAAACTGTTGAGTATTTGAAATATGAGCAATATATACACCATAATATCAAACCTAATATTATAATTATTTTGAGAAAAATAATTGAGATATAGTAGTTATTTTTGGCTTCTCTTTTCTCCTGCCCTATAAATGAGAAATTTGAGTAACTTGATATTTTCAAATACATGCAGTTATAAAGATTTAAAGGTACACACACACACACACACACACACACACACACACACA